TTAGTATTGAGAAAAAAAATTACTTTGGAATTTTGTTAAATTTTAATTGAAAATTATTTTAAAATTATTCACTTTCGATCGAAATTCGACATAAAATTTTTTCAATCAAAAAATGATTGAAAATTTTTCAATTAAAGTTTGATTAAAAATTTCGTTGAATTTTTTTCCGATCAAGAACTTTGAAAAATTCAGATAATATTTGAATAAAGTCGAAAAAGTTTTAGTCAACTTCAACCTCTGCTTTCTATCTTCATTCATTAGCATATATTTATTCAAATCTTGTTTAGGTTCTCCTTTAATATCACCATAGACAGTGTTTCTTAAAATGTTTTGTTCCAGTTTAAAAACACCACTATAGAATATAATTTAATCCAAAACTAATTTGAAAATCTTTTAATTCTTGCGGGACTATTAACCTTTATTAATATTTCAAACTTTCAAATACCATTAGGATTAGCAATTTTTAAAAGTCAACAAAAATGAGGAAATTCAAATTAGAACAGATTCCGGGGGAAAAAAATACAAACAAAGATAACTGTTCAGCACTTCCGATGAAATCTTTTAAGATTATGAGAATAAGTAACTGAAACGCTAGTTTTAATTTTTTCATCTTATTTATTGTTCATTTTTTGAATTTTTAGTCACAATAACTTTTTTATAACATTATAATTTTTTCTCTTAATTTTTTTACCATTTTACTTATTAATTTTTGATTGTTCACAACTTTTATGATCAGTATTTTAGTAATATTATGTCATTCAATCTAATTTGTTTAACTTTTTAGCATATATATTTCAAATTATATTAATATGTTAACGCAATATTTTTTAAATTTTTTATGAACGCAAATATAACAGAATTAAATTTCTTACATAAAAAAATACATTTCATGATATATAAATTAATATAAGCAATACATCTATATCATTATTTTTTCTGAGTAAGCAGAGGGGTAGTCTAAGTAATGGGGACTTGGTTTCATAAGTTCTCCATTGATAAAAAATACCAACCCTCAGCAATTTTTTTAATTTATACAAAGTGATACTGTGAGACTTGAAAATAAGTTTTGGATGAGTTATACTAATTAAAATAATAATAACAATGTATTAAAGATTCAAAATTTATTAAGAGATCAAAATATCTTCACTATTCTTCGTGAAGTATAAACAAATAAATATCGATAACTTTTACAAAATACTTATATTGCATCGATTTCAAAATGCTACTGAAAATTACTAAAACGAAGTTTTATATTTTAATTTGGAAAATTATTAAAGATTGAAAACCAAAACATTTTTGTCATTTTAAAAAAGTAAAACTAAGCAATTTGTTACACATCGGTAATCTTAATAAATCGGAAATTACTATGTGAAGGATTTTTGAGCTCTTCACAAAATAATTTCCATCAAACTTATATGGAAATCAGTATTGCCATTTTATAGTTAACTGATTAGGATGCAAATTTTCATTTTAGTTTTATTATTATGAGTCACAAACAAATGAATTACAATAAGAATTTTCGGATCTTTTTACTATATTCACGCCATATTAATGAAATTAGTTTTTTTTTTGTATCTTGTAACGAAATGAAATAAACTAATTATGAATATTCAAAATAAGAAAACTTTTGCTTGAGATTCAACGTTTCTTCAAAAATAACAGAACTTACAAGAAAAAATAAAGCATTGTATCAATATCTTCTGAACTCTAAACGTTCAAATATTTGCCGAATGAGTGATTTTTTAAAGTATCCTTTATACTGTTTTTGTTATTTGTTAACATATTACACTCATTTTATATCTGATGAAATGGATTTTGAAACTACACAATTTTGAATTGAAATATTGAATGAAAATATTTTATGCTCTTATATTTTTTAATTTTATTAGTTTATAATAAATTTTAATATTTTTTTTTATTTTATTCTTAGATTGGAAAAATGCAAAATCACATTTGCATTTAATATTTACTAGCAATTCCTCTCAAATGTTTTCTTTTTTATTTTCATCAAAAATTATTAGTTTCAAGTTGTGATCTTTTATTAACACGAATATTACGTATCTCATAAATAAATGGTTAATTCTTAATTAATTCATGTTATATTTGATAATCTTAATTCATATTACCTTAAAAATTTACTATTGACTAGACATTATATGCACTCAGGTTTGAACAGAAATCAATTAGAAAGGATGCAACTTAGGAACAAAGTCAAAGTATTGAAATTGTATCAGATTAGATTCTGAATGACAGTAATTTTTTTTATCCTACAATTCTGGGGTTTTTATTTATCATTATTACACTTCATATATGTTTTATCTTTGAAAATTTTTAGTTGCATATAAAAACAAAGCTTTTTATGTGAATTTAAAATTCAACGTAAATCAGATTTTAGTTGATTTTTTTCTTTTATTTTCTGTACAGTTCTATACTGTCTTTATGCTATATTTTAGAACAAAATAAAATTTTAATTTTAATTTTTCAATATTTTATTCATTGATTGTCAAATTTAAGTACCATTAAACCTTTAATATTAAATTTTTGATATATTTTCATATTATACTTTATTTAAAATCATTTTTCACAACAAGAAAAGATCACAAAGTGTTTTAAAGCACCTAAATGTTTTTAATCGAAAATAAAAATGGTAAAACGTAATGCATAATTATTCAGAATAGTTTTTATTCTTTTAAAAAAAATTGAAACTACCTGTAACTCTAAGAAAAAAGCCGGAACAATTATACATTAATCAAGAGCAATTTTTAAAATCAAAGATTAAATGTTAATATTTTTCTTGCTTTGATTTCAAAAACTTTATTTCACTAGATGTTTTACTACAAAAAGTTGATTTAGAGTTTGATATTTATATTCACACAAAATTTTCAATTTGGTTGAATTTACTTTTTTTGATAATTTTTTATTTTATTTTCAAAATCTTATACGAAATGAGGTGAATTTATTAGGTCATTCACAAATGACGTAGCCAATAAATTTAAATAATAAATGAATATAAGTGATTTATAAAAGCGCATTTTCTCAGAACAATTTTTAACAAATTCCATGTGATGGAATTTTGAGATTCTCATGTTGAAATTTTTGTAAAAAGCAATAATTAGAAAAAGTGAATTGGGCTTTTGGAGTAATAACACATCATACATAACTAGCATAAAAAATTATTTTGAAGATCTTCTCTTCTTCTCCGTGTCGGAAAAGATATTAAATTTAAAGAGATTATGCGTAATTTATTTGAGCAAATAACATCATACAATCAAATAACAGAATTTTTAATGAAAAATATTTAAAATTAATTAATTACTATTTTCAGTCATTTTTAATTTACTAGTTAAATCATTCAGAGTTTAATCATAAAAACCATGTTCGTAAATAATTCATGCTACTTAAATAATATAAAATATAGAACATTTTTTCAGTGTCAAAAGTTTTGTTTTGTTTTTAAATCAATAGATCAACTGACAGATGAAATTTAAAGCACTAAATTAAATTGTCAAACAAAAAATCAAATCAACGCTGGCCTATCTCATGTATCTTTAAACTGCAAAAGTAACAAGAGTTTTTATTTTATCACGCTTAAGATATTTACTTATAAATTGGTATGAAACTAGTTTTCAAACCAGGTTTCAAATCAATATTTTTGGTATTAAAGACCAAAGTGGATCAGTGGCGTGTCAAGAGTGTTTGTTTTTGTTACTTGAGGCCCATGCTGCTGCTTGAACTCTTAAACATTTATTATAAGAAATATTGTAATCATTTTAAAAAGCAAAAATGAAAATAACACTTTTTTTTAAAAAAATACTTTTTCTGTTGTTTGTTTGGGAAATCTTATTATTTTTGAACGATATAAGCAATATATATATATATATATATATATATATATATATATATAGATATATATAGATATATACATAATGTCATATAAAGAGAATGATAGTTAAATTTTCAAATATTACTAACAGTACCACAATAATTTTACATGGAGAAAATTGAAATTTATCGTGACCTCATATATATATATATATATATATATATATATATATATATATATATATATATATATATATATATATATATATTGGATATAAGCGTAATTCCACGGATTGATTTTTGCAAAAATTTCTTCTTTGAATTGAATTTTCTCTAAATTAAGGAACTTTGCAGATCCGATTCCATCCAATTCACGTATAATGTCATGTCTTAATTAATGAAATATTTTTTTTTTATAAAATATCCGTTGCTCCATTAAACAATATTGAATTTTGATTTTCGAAGTGAAAATTTTCAACTTTCTAGACAGAATTATTAACCTTTGTTTTAATTATATCCATGATTCTCTATCTTTTTAAATTGTGTAGGCTTAAATCTGCCAAAACAAATTATTTAAGCTAAAAAGAATTTTTATATGATTTTTTTTTTGAGTAACGCTAATCCGGACAAACAGAATTTTGATTTTAGATTTTGCTTTAATTACATTTAAATCAATTTAAATTTCAAAATGATTTTTACATTAATTTGCCATAGAAAGATGATTGAAGTCTTTGATGGAGAGCTTGATAATTTAAAATGTGTTTTTTAAGCAAAACAAAATTTCATAATCCATGGAATTGCCAATAATTTTAAATCTAAAAGTAAAATGCCCAAAATTCAATTTAGTGTTATAATGACGAAAGTAAAATTAATTTGATAGTGTAAAAGTATTCATTATAAGTTAAATTTAATGTTGTTCAAATATTATTATTTTTGTTTGGTAATATTTTCAAACATCAACAACGTTTATCTCTCATTAAATTAAGTTTTAATACTTTTAAAGGTTTTTAGGCCATTAAGAAAAATTCTAAACACATTTTTGTAATTTCTGCAATTTTTTTTCATGATCAATTGTGATTTTCCCAGATTTTTTAGAAAAGTGGTACTTTTGGTACAATTTTTTTTGTAATTTGTTTTTCAACAGTTTATAGTTTTCATGAAAATTTTAAAATTTTGACTTTCTTGTAAAAAGTTTTTAAAACAGATTTCATCCTCACTTTTTATTAAAAATAAATATAACTAAAATCACTGTTGTATCTTACTTACATTGAATTATTTTAAGGGCTCATTAGTTTTTAAAGCAATTTGTACTAGCTTGCATGTCATTTGGAGTAGCTGTTGCTTCTGTTGACAGACTAATACTACTTGTTGATGTTGTTGGTGGTACAAGAGCATTGAAAAAGTTCATAATAGATTCAGATGAAGCACATGCTTGTGAATTCATATCCTTTTCTAGCATGGTTTTAATCTGTGTAAAAAAAAACAAGTTAAAAACAGTCTATCGTCTAAAAATTTCAAATAAGAATTTTAAAAAATTCAACCAACTTGAATAAGGGTAATTCCATGAGAAATTTTTGTAAAAAATTTACTTAAAATTGATTTTTTTCATATTTAGGCTTTACAAAAGTTAATAAGATTTTCACAGTGCATGTAAAAAGTCATATGGTATATGATTTGACATTAATTTTTTATCTAAAGTGGTTAATTCGTCCAAAAAATTGATTCCATGAGCGTTACTTGGTAACGCTATAAATGTTACCAAGTAACGCTATAAAATATAATTTTTTGGACTTAATAATCACTTTAGATGACATTTTAATGTCAAATAACATACCTTATGGCTTTTAACATGTCCTGTGGAAATCTTATTAACTTTTGTAAAGCCTAAATATGAAAAAAATCAATTTTAAGTAAATTTTATAGCAAAATTATAGCATGGAATTACCCATAATCATAATGAACTTGAGAAAAACAAAGTGGCATTTCATACAAGTTTTTAGTTTTTGGTGATTTATAAGTCAAAGTGTTACCTTTTCTCTTTGTTCCAATAATTTTATTCGCACTATATCATGCTGCTTTTGTAACTCCTCTTTTCTTTTCTCGAAATTTGCTGTTAAACGAACTCGTTCAGCGACTCCCTTTTCAACAACTGTTGATGCTACCTCGCGTTTCATTCTTTCTAATTCATCTTTATCTTTGTGAACTAATGCCAACTGTTTAACTTCTGATTTTCTCGTGTGCTGCAACTGGCGCATTACTTCATTAGTCTCTTTTTCCATTAGTTTCTTTAAATGCTGCATTTGGTTGTCTTGTGATTTATGCAGAAGGGTTTCTGCCATTGTAAATATTTGTTCGTGATATTTTTCCAACAGTTCTCGATACGTTAATGCGTGCTCACGACAGAGATTTGTGAGACGCTCATTTAGAGGATCATCATTGCTACTCAACAATTGGCATGGAGGTACTGGAATGTTTACATCCCTAAATAAACCAAAATTAGAATAAAAAAATGCATTTACTTTAGTGCTATTAGTGATTATATGCTTACATATTTTTACTGCTAAGTTTTTTTACAAGTTTGTTAATTGATGACTTTTTCCCATCTGTAATGTCACTTTGTGCTACTTCAATTTTTTTCTTGTCATGATTTTTCTTTAACAAACGAACTTTTTTCTCCAACGTTTCTCGTTTTTCTCGTATAGATTTATGTTCAAGAATTTTTTCAAGTGTTTCCGCAACAATTTCATCGGTTTCATTTGTAACTAATTCAGGTTGTGAACGTGGAAGTGTTGCGATTTTAGATGATTCGTTTGATTGAGAAATGTTGGATACTGCTGTATTTGGTCCAATATTAACATTTGAACTACCCGATATGAAATTGCTATCAATATTTGAAAGAGACTCCACTAAATTTGATTCAGTGGCAGATGAAGAATGTAATGCTGATGGGCAGAAACTTGATCGATGCATAGGACTACTTGTTGCTGTATCCGATGGCTTTATCTCTTTTTTTATTGAAGCGACAGATGCTTGTTCTTTAGAACTTTCTCCATCATCATTGCTTGGTTCCATATCTTCTTGAAGCACAGCTAATTGTTGTGAGCGCTTCTCTAAATCGCTTTGATATTTAATAGGATTGGCTAATGCTTCAGCGAAATCAGAAAGTCCGTCTGGAACATAATCTTTAACGACTATACAAAGAAATAGTGTAGATAGAGGTAGAGGCTGTCCCAATTCGTTTCTTAATGAAACGTGTCGGTATCCTGGACATAGACCTATTACTGGTAATACACGATGTCCCAAAAACTTTCCGTTCTCTTCATATGCTGCAATCCGAATACTTGCTAGATGTGGCAATACAACCTTTTTGAACACAAATGGCTCATCTCCATAAACAGGATTAATACTGTTCTCACGAAATATTCGTGTTCGGAACTTTTTACGCACTGTATCGGCGGGTAATCCAAACATATCTACTTCCACATAAGTTCCAACTTTCTTATCTGTCAAAAATTGACCCGATAATACAGTAATAGAAACGGTACCAGCAATGATTCCATCAACCTAATAATATTTGATTCAAGTGAGACAATTAATATGATTATGTATCATTTTTAACAGTGGAAAAAATGACAATAATTAAATTAATATTTACCGTACTCTCAGCAAACGGATCTAGTCTTCGATCTTTTCGTCTCATGAATTCCGGTTTCAACAAATACCCACAACGCTGATTATATTCATAAATTCCAAGATTTAATTGCATTCCAAGATCAAGTGTTTGGTAATTTAGTGCAACCAACTGACAACCACAATTCCAGAACAACTGTGGCATAAAATTCGAACTATCAAATCGATAACCAGCTGGATAAACACGAGACAGCTGATGTTTGTTATAATTTACAAATTCTATTGGACGCTCTTTCAATAAAGCAGTTGCTTGTTTTTCATCAAATGATGACATTTCATAGAATCGTCCCTTTTCTTGTTTTTTAATTAAAAAAAGTGCAAAGGTGTGAAATTAAAACCAAATGTAAGAACAGTAATTTAACTTACTTTCAGAATTTTCAAAAGTACTAAAATGTACAGGTTGTACATAGTTCACTAAAGCTGATATTTCGGCTCCTGCTTCAGTTTCTTTTGCATTTTGCACCTTATCATTAGGTTCTGGAAGACCTGATGAAGGAACTTGAGTTGATTCATCGTCGCTAGAACTGTCAGTGTCTGATGAACCAGTACTATCCTTAGACGCTTGTCGAAATTGCTTAATATATTCATTAAAAAAAATTAATAAGACATTAATAATAATAAATAAATTAATTTCAGCATTATATATAATATACTTGTAGTGTAGGAGGATGTTGTTGTGAAATATCACCATTTCCAGTAATTTGAGAATGACTACTACCAGTGGAACAACCTTCTTCTGTTGTTATATGTTGATGTTTATCTGATGTTAGCATTAAGGCATTTGTTACTACTATTGATTACATTTTAGGAAATAAAAACATACATGAATATTTAGTAAAGCTTAACATTTTTTTCTGTTTTGGAAAGCATTTATATAGTTATTAACAAAACAGTCAATCGTCATAAGTGTAAATTGCTTACCTTGATTTTGTGACTTTTTATGATGATGATGATGGTGGTGGTGCTTTTTTTTATTCTTTATAATAATTTTACGCTTTAGTAGCTGTGGTGAAGGTAGCTCCAAAAATGCATCTAGCGGATGTGAATCTAATGGCAAATCTAGTAACATATCTCCAAATATATCACGACAATAGTTAGCAATTTTTGCCTTTATTAATGTAACCAAAGTTTAAATGCATAAGTACAGGTATAAATACATAAAATAATGTTGTTTAGCTAACTTTTAAATTGGAAATTAAATTATCAATATTTTGTGATAACTTAATACTATGTCTACTAACCTGTTGTCGGGGATTGCAATGATTTTCAAAACTCAATATCACAGGATAATCAGATGTTTTAAATGCACTTTCAGCGATTGCTTCTAATACGTCTTTCGCATAAATTTCTGGGACAAATGTATAACCATGAACAATTACTGGTTCTTCCGTACGACCATTCCAAAAATCCAATTCTACACACCTAAAATTTTAAAACATTAGTATAGATCAGTGTATTCCAAACTTTTTTGGTTGGCGACCAAACTGAGTTTCACGAATGTTTTTTTTTTGGCATGAATGAAAAAATTGGTCATATTTTAAATCTTGCGACACACCAAAGTGTCGCGACGCATAACTTAGAATTCACTGGTATAGATAGAGAAAAAATTTACAAATTAATTTTTATTTTACCTACAACCTGCAAGTAATGTTTGCCTATAAATTTCAACGGAGCTTTTACCAGTTATTTGGTGTCCAATTAAATACGTATTATGGGACGAATTAATAAAGTAATGCGATAATGGTTGATCCATGTCATCACACAATTCCAATTTATTACTCGCCATGATAGGATTATCTTCCGACATTAAATATCTGTAACATTAGATAATACAAATTTCCTTTAATTTTTTTTATGGAACACATTTTTTTAATATTTCTAGTAATTTACTTTTGACGTCCAACAATTAGAAAAGCAGATTCTTCGTGAAACGTCAATTGTAAACGATTTGATCATTAAGTAAAATTACCTCAAAAATCCATCAAAACTTAGCAAACCTTTTTGTGCGTTAAATTTATTAGGTTCATATTGTTGTATTATATCTTTTGCTCTTGCTGGATTAGCATATGGAAAAAGTATTTCATTTAATCTCGGATCACGCTGAATTTTGTTGAGAAAATCCACTAATTGACTTATTGACATTATTCTTCGTTTTGATGTCCCGACACTAAAATTATAAATTTTTTAAATTACATTTTTAAACCGTTTACGAGACTAAAATTATATAAAAGTTTGTTATTAACATGTGTGTTCTTACATTTCATCAAATAGCTTTTCCACCTCGGTTCGCAATGTTAAATTTTTGTACAGATTGAAAAAGTCTTCAAATTGAAGTTTTTGAATTGGAATTGCATCTGTTTTACCAATTGGTAACCCTGATACTTCTAATGCTTTTTCAACTCGTCGTCGATCATCTTTATGCGATGCAAAAAGTTTCATTATACTGTAAAAAAATTGACTTCTGTATTAATGAGGTATATAAATTTAAAAAGATAAAAATAGATTTGAAGGGATTTGAACTTGAGAGCACTTTAGAGTTCTACTCTAACAATTGAAAATAAAAAACCAATTTGAATTAAATTTAAAAAAAAAAATTATTGAATAATCAAATGGTAAAACGCAACGAAACAAGTGCATTATCCTGATACATATAAAAAATCAAAAATCCTTTTGACATATTTGTCTAAGTTTTTTTAATACAATATAGGTACAAATATTCATTTTATCTGATTCATTCTGTAGAACCACATAAACATAATGTAACAATAATAATATCACATGCTCAACATTTGATTACAAAATCAATATAATGATGCTATAAATAAATATCTGAAGACCATAGTAGTAAAAAAAAATTGAGGAAAAACCGATTGATAATGGAAAAGTAGCCAAATCAAGTAAAAAACTTACTTTTTCACCGGAATTTTTCCAAATTTGTCAACCTGCAAACATAGTTTAACGTGAGCTTTCTCTAAAAATCTTGTCGATGACCCATTAAGTTGTGTTAAATTATAAGCTAACTTTAACAACTCATCACTCCAATGCTGAAATGAAAATTGCAAAATATATTGTTTTTCTTCAATTGAAAAGAAGAGTAGGTTAAAATTATCTAAAATCCTGCGAAATGGAGACAAAAAGATTAAAAGGCGCGAAGAAATTGATACGTCTTTTTCATTTAAGCTAATTTGGCATCAAAAATTATTAAAATACTTGATGATGTCGCACCAATTTTTATATTTCTTATAATTAATCGAATTCTGAAGCAGGGCTGACTTTTGAAAAATAAATGATATCTCCAGTCATTGATGAGTTATTGGCATTCAATACGAATCAATTGGCATAGTTTTTTTTACCGAAATCACATTATGGGAATTATTCAACGGGACCACAAAATAGTGAGAATTTTCCATCAATTTTCCCTCATCGTGTTGTTTTCTCTATATGTAAAGACCGAGTTAAAACAACATAAATACAAAAAAGAGAACAACTAACAGATTTAAAAAACCAAACATTGACATAAATTAATCAATGAGTTTTAAAAATGATGTTTAAGAGATGGTACACTTCTTAGCAATATAAATTCCAAACATATTATAGTATTTGTAGCAATTAACAATGTAAAGTGGTTCATCCATAGAAACCAAGCATTAGAATTTGTAAGAAATTATGTATTCTTATTTGTTTAGTTTTTATTATCGGACATCCAAAGTAGACAAGGCTAATTTTTTTTTATTTATTTTGTTTGCAAATTGACTGTATTTTTGATTTAGCTCACCTGCGCAATGTCTTTTCTTGTGCAGCAAAAATTTATGAAATTAACATTTACAAAGTCAGATCCATAACACAATGTTACTGTTTTTTCTTCAAGTGTATCCTGCTGAGATCCCATTGTTACTATTTGTCGCAACTTCAAGTCCTATTTTTCAATCCAATATGAAAAAAAAAAAATAAGTTTAAAACAAAATGAAAAAAACTAAGCTTCACCTTTGGTTTTTTAGCATATTGTGCTGTTCTAACATCACGAATAGTAGCAATATCAAGTAAGTCCATTTCATGGTTTTGATCAACCCAGTAAAGATAAAAGCCTTGTTTATCTATTTTTAATGTAACAGGCGTTCCCAAACCAGAATCCTTAATGAAAAGTTGGAAGGTAAAATTCAAGTTAAATTAAATAAATTAGAGAATCTAAAGATTTAAAAAAATTAAAATATAAATTACTGAGAGATTAAAATTTTTACTTTTATAATAAAATAAGACATTTTTCTCGAGATGGGAACAACACAGGCGAGTTTTTTGTTTAACCTTTTACAATTGTTTAGGCTTGCTCTTTAACAATTTCAAAGGGTTCTTTAACTTATTTACTCCTAATAATTTAATTATTGTAAAGTATGCACATCAATAATTGATGTTTCATCCAATGCTTTTATATTACATAAAGGTATCAATTATTTGGGGTTTTGACTATATGTGAAAATACCTTATATTTGTTCACATACAAAATTGTTTTTTTAACGAATACGTATTAAATAGTAGTTAAATAATTTCCCATAGAAATTATTTGGGCCACATCGCCATAGCTGAGAGGAATATGTTGATGCAAACGACAATAAATGTGAACTATCAAATTCATAGCAAGGTTAAAAAATTTATTATATTCACACCCTTTTCACGTGTTAATCTATTGGTTTTGTTCAAATTGAAAAATCAGTTTTTTGAATTTTGTGAGGATATGGAGCAAGATAGCTTAAAATGTTCAGAGATGAAAAGTTTGTGCCTGGAATTTCACATCTTTTGCAAAAACAGATTTCAAATTGGTTGCGGCATTGCTGAGAAAATCGCAAAATACGCTTTCTGTAAGCAAACAAGCAAGCAAGCAAGTTAATCAGCAAGAAATCTCAATAACATGACATCGTAGAGACTTCTAGTTTTTCACATTTGATCCGTGCTGCTCTATAGAAGAGCTGTATTGTTTTTGGACAAAGTAGGAACAGCCGTTGCTTCAGAAAAAGCAAAAAACTCTCATTTCTTACGAATTTTTCAAAACAAAAGTTGACTGTGATTTTTATAAAATTAAACTTTGGATGAAAATTTTTTAAAAAACTTTCAAAGAATGTTCGTTAAGCTTTAAACCTTCAAACATTTGCTGAGCGAAGCTCAGCTGATTTGCTAGCTTTAAACCTTCAAACTTATGCTAGGCAAATCTTGTCCTGTCCATAAGACTTTTGATGGTACGGTGTGAATATATCCGCATTGGGTTTCTACCCGATACACTAGTTTAACTTTACAAAACAATAAACCTTTTTGATTTATGATTTTCAATATAAAGTCTTCTCTGGTTTTATAGTAAGTATGCTATTTAATTTAATTTCACATTCGTATGTTTTTAATTTGATTGAATTGATAGATAAAAGGTATTAAACTAACAGTCTAGCTTTAAGTAGAGTGTAAAAATATATCATAAATATTATTTTAATATTAATAAAATTACCTCATCCCATTTAATGAATTTTTCGCCCTCTAATAAAGTTTTGGAAACTTCCACAGCACCTGTTTGAACAGCTATTGTAGAACTGGAATTGGCTGAATTTCTGGGACATTGTTGTACTGATTTGGGTGTTTCAGGAAGGGTTGATGTTAAAGCGGATGCAGTCGCAGTTGTTAAAGCTGAAGTTGCCATATTTTCCAAACAGAATTTTTTAAGGTCTCTTTCTTTAATTTACGCTTGAATGAGATAAAAAAAAAAACAAATGAATAGTTATTCTTTGAAGCTTATCAAAAAAGTCATTAAAATTAGAAACATTCTATGCTGTCAATATCAAAAGAGATATTGAATGATATCCCAAAAAATGTTGGTGGTTATAACTTTTTAAATAATTTTAAAAATTTTCTGCTCCCAAAATGCCATTTATTTTGGATCTTTAATTCGTTGAATTATCCAATTACAGACAAATATTTTAATTTTGTCTTCACACCATACAAAACACACGTGTGTGAATTCATACCATAATTTTTTACATATATATAATTTTTTATATATATATATATAAAATATAATTATTATATATATAAAAAATAATAATTATTATATATTATATATTTAATATAATTAAATATATATATATATATATATATATATAAATATATATATATATATATTTAAATTAAACTTTTTATTTATTTATAGGGTAAGAAATATGCAAATTGGTGCGAAATGGAGACAAAAAGTTTAAAGAGCTATAACTTTCTATCTGATGCATGATATTTAACATTTAAAAAATAAAAAAAGTCAGCACTTCTTCAAAGTTCAACCATTTATGTTGAATATAATAATTGGTGCGAAAAATATTAAAATTGATGCGGCAAAATATGAAAATTGGTGCGACATTACCAAGGAGGCGACCAGGTTAAATGATTTGCATCATAAGTAAGGGCCGTTCACTAATAATCACTTATATTTATAAAAAGGGAATTTGTTTTGAAGTCTGTAAAATTACCTAAAATCATTTTTTAATTAGTATTCTAAAAGTGGAATTTGTACATTTTCACTATACATTGTGTGCTAACTGTCTTATCTTGCTAAAAACTTTTCTTTGTTGTTGTTGTTTTATTCCACAATTTTTGACTAGTACAATATATGCAACAACAAAACTTTTTTTCTCATATTTGAATTATAAAATTATTTTCAAAGTTTTTTTTTTTATTTTAATTACAAAGTATTTTCACTTGCCAATATGAACTTTTGAAGAAAAAAAATATGTTTAAAAATTGATTTTCCATCATTTTCTTTTTTTTTCTTTTTGAAAAAAAAAATAAATATTTTTGATAAGATTTTTATTTCCTTATTTCTCACTTTTGTAACAACTATTTTCACTTTTTTCTGTATTATTTTTAAATATTCATTTCATATTAATGTTTTCAATTATTAATTTTTGACAATTTTTCTAACTACATCGCAGAAAATCATATTTATAAAGCTTTATTATTTTTCTTTTTGCAAATGTTACAGAATCGCTGCAAATGTCTCTCACAATCTCGGTAACTTTACGAAATGAATGAATAAATTTCTGAGTCATTTTACAAAAGCAGATTTGTTGCTTACACTTTCCATTTGCTAAACTCGATTTGAAGAGCAGAGAGAGAAAATTTATTTTTTTTTCTCGTATGAGCACTCGCGAGAAGGGAATGGAATGATTTTTAATAGAGAATGTGTTTTTCTTTGCACTTTGAATTTATTTTGAGCTTAAATATTGAATATATTATTTGTCATTCATTGGTAATGTCAACTCAGACAAAATCTTATTTAATCTTCATTTTTTTATTTTTATAATTTTAACACCTTAGCCCTTGCTTTGGTATTACTAGTCGTCTCATATTACCCATAAATAAAAGTTTCAAATATAAAGTTATGTATGTATTCAAATTTTTAGAAACTAAACGCTCCTAATTATTGCAACGCTATAAAAAATCGCTCCCAAATTATTTAATAACAGGCATTTTGAATAAATCTTTTAAATAATTGTTCAAGATTGAAAATTTATTTTATTTCAGTTACTATGTATTTGAAAAAGAAAATACAATGTTTTGTATTTTCAACTTTAGAAATAAAATTTGATTGATACATTTTAAATATTTTCAAGCACGAAAAACATAATTAAACAAAATAAAGACTTAAGGTTGAAGTTTAATCGAGACCATCATCATATTCTTCTTTTGGTTTTGAGTTTGACTTTGGATGATTTGGTGTTGTAGTTTGAGCGCTTGGAAAAGTTGGAAAACCTCCCATACCACCCATTCCAGGTATTCCACCTGGAAAACCTCCAGTTGCGCCAGCGAATTTCTTCAATAAGTTCATGACCTGTTGATAAAAACGATATAATTTTTTTTGCTTAAAAACTAAAATTAATGATTATTATGGTATGAACCTTTGGATTATTTTGGTATTTCATAATGTTTGCAGGATTAGACATGACATCTTGCAGTGCTGCAGCAACTTCTGGATCGTTAAAGGCTTCCATTACATCAGGACCAAGAGAAGACATGAAATCATCATCGCTACTACTGTATTGCTTTTTTTCATTTTCTTCTGCAGCTTTTTTATTTGCTTCTTGAGCCTTTCGGACACGTTCGCGTCTAGCTTCATCTTCCATTTCTGCTTTTTTCCGTTCTTGCTTAATGTTATGAAGTTCAATTTTTTTTGCATTTGGTGTAACTTCTTTGAGCCAGTCATCTGTCTCATCATCATAGTCTAACTTGCAAGCTTGTCTCAAGTCTTTTGCTGCCGCTTCCCAATTTCCTAAGAGTCTATTTGCTCGTCCTCTAAACTTATAGGCAGCTGCATTGTCAGGATTTAAATGCAATGCACGATCACAATCACGAATAGCAGCATTAGGTTTACAAAGTTTAATAAATGCTTGAGCACGCTTAGCATAAAAAAGTGCATGCGTTGGGTTTAACAGAATTGCTTGGGTGTAGAAATTTATTGCGTCTTCATACTCTCCATCGCTGTAAGATGCAGCACCTTTTCCACGAAATTCACTTGCTTGATCAACTTCGTCATCAGTAGGCATTTTTTCATCCTCGCCCATTTCCTGCAATGGGTCTGCGTCTCCTTCGATTATTGTATCCAAAAGTTCAAGTTCAATATCCGATTCTGGCTCAGGATCTTCCATTTTTGTTTCAAACTCTTTTTCCTCCTTAGCTTCAGTTTTTGCACTGTAAAGAAACAAACTGATTTAATAAAATAAATATTTTAAAAAATTAACAGCCTGCGCACCCTGCATTATGTTGAAAATTTGCTTCTGGAACTTTTCCACCAAGTTGTTCTACGAATTTTTTAAAAAATCCTAATTGAGGAAGATTTAATATTGATGGTTGAGTTGATACAAACTCAATGAAAATCTTAAGTTTTCCTATATCTTCAGTATTAATAGGACAAGCCATTTTTTCTATAAAAAAAAAAAAATATCTTACAAAAAATGCGTAGATTTCGGTGTTTGTAAAATTTTAATTGATTTGTTATAATTATAACCTACTTGATGCTTTTTAATGCAAGAATATTCACTTCCCTATTGTTCTTTATAAAATATCAAATTTTTATGTGAGTTTATTGAGTTTTGGTTTAATAATTATATATACGTGAAAATTTACAATATTTTGATAAAGTTTAGCAAACACACTCCATGATTCAAAAATATTTTTCCTGTTACATTCAAGGTATTCTCTTAAAAAATATCCGTCTGAAAAGATTAAATTTTTAATACATAGATCAACTGGAAAGCAACTCGAACGATACATGGAAAAATTGAATATGCTACCACACATTTTAAAAATCTGATCTTTTAATTATAATAAAGTTGCTAGATTTTTGTTGTGTAAAAATAAGAAATTTATTAAAGTAGATTAAAATAGTTTTCTAATATTAGTCTATCCATAAACTGAAGAAGAACGTTGATCTGAATTCTACTATCAACCATAGACACAGGAAGCTGTTTCACGCTACCTTATCACAAAAGTTACATCATTGAATTTTTTTGATTCTTCAAAACTCTGTGTAGGTGTCATTCCAGCCTCGAAAATTTTCAGTCGATACTATCAAGCAATTTGGCGCAAGCACAAGTGAAATTATTTCGCAGAATTGCATGAAGAATTTCGTCACTTATCATTGAGAATTTTAATAATTTTGTCCAATTTTGCTAAAAATTTATTTAAAATTTTAAAAGCATAATGAGAATTGTGATACATTTTGAGATTTTGTTTTCAGTTCTACCTGTTATAAATAAACTTTTTTGAATCCTACATTTCTGCTGTTAATCATAACGGTTTGAAAATTTTTAAAAGTAAAAAATTCAAATTTCAAAAAATCCGTTATGTCCGTTAATGATTGAGCTTTTAAGAAACTATCTCCTTAACTGCAACCGTTTGAGTTGAGACATTTTTTTGATGTTGCTATACTCGTTAAACAATTATTAAGTAGAAGTTATGAGTAAATGTCATATGCAAGGTACTTATACAATCTGTTGATTTGGATGATGAAATTTTCTGTTATTATAAATAATAAAATTTATTAAAGATTTAATTAAGCGCTGGATGTTGTGTAATTCGTTGATTTTTTTGACACATTTTTTTAGTATTTATGAACTGATTGCTTCTTATTTATTTATTATTTCCTTCTTGAGTTTTTCAATAATGTTTATCTAGTTTCAGTTCATATATGTTGTTTACTTTTTACACCTGTGAAGCTATTGATGCTGTCTTTTCCTCACTTTCTTGATTTTTCGTTGGTTCGACA